GGTATTTCTTCCCCATAATGAATAATTCTTCAGTATTAACAGGAACTTGACATGATCAGCAGCTACCTTCAACTATTCACTTCAACAGAAATCAATTGTTTACCAGACATCCATTACTTCCCTGAAAAAACAAAGAACTCCACCTACCTTTTCATTTAATGACGCAAGCAGATATGGAGCTACATCCATGTGTCCCGAGCCAACCACTCTCCAAACCCGTGTCAGTCAGTGCAATCAGTCTGTTCACTTTGACACCTTTCAGTCACCGATTCCAAACGGGATTTAAACCATCAAGCAGAAACCTTGATTTAAGACACCGATTTTAACCTTGATTTGCATTTGTATTTATTTTCATTGAAGATCATTAGTTTTCATTAATTGGGATAGCCATTAAAATAGCAGAGATCTGCAGGCAATCATCACGGTCAAAAGAATCCTAACTTAATAAAAATAAGGAACATTAATAAAGTTAAATGAAAAAATGTATGTTTCATCACTATTCTGATTTTTTTTCCTCTCAAGTTTTGGGGCAGAACCTGTGGATGCAAATTAGAATTAAATGAAAAATGACAAAGCTATCTTAGGCATACAGGGCAACTGATAGGTTTCAAATTTAAGATTGATTAAATTAATCAGTAGATGTTTCCAGTGGGTTAGATCTCTTGGTTCCAAAGCCCTGGAAATGACTGGCTTTGCTCAAAGCATTGCTATTTTAGAACCAAAGGCTTCAGTAACTCTTCCTGTGTTGCTGTTCAGCATCTCATTTATACGAAGGGAGTTTAGACACCCATCCTGCTTATATATACACCACTGAAAATATTTTGCATTTATGTCTTTTGCCACCTAAATGTTACTTAAATTTTGGTCCCAGGGTACAAGGTTTCTCTGAGCCACTCTCCCCTCCACCGATTTCTTAACGTCTCATCGGAGGGAAAAAAAAAAACCCAAGTCTTTTCTCAGTGAAGTAATATAAACCCAAACAGTTCTTTACACATATTTATTAATTAGACTGAAATCAATATTTTACTGAAAAGCATTCTTGCATAAAAAGGAGGAATCTAAATACCTGCATTCACTCAATTGTAAAGAGACAGGTACTTAAAGTATTACAAGATATTTTGGCATCCCAAAAGTTTGAGCTGATATTAAATGTTAAAGGTGTTTCCCAAATTCAGCAAAACATTAAAATAGTGGAATTCTTTAACTGGGTGAAATGTGAAGTTTCAGTGAGAACAGGTTTTCAATAAATCATAGAAAAATGGTTCGTTCTTTTGTTTTCTAAATACTTCAAAATATATTACATTTTTAGTTTTAGAATTGGACAACCTAAAACTGATAACAGCAAACCTCAGACACCCACTCAGATTTTCTTAATCGTTTAGTGTTTGCTATTTGCTTCTATGGAACAAGAACCCAAAAGGTGTTTTAATTTTTCTTTTCCTGAAAGAGGAAGAACCTCAGTTATTCACAAGGGTCACAGCAATTTCTTGCTCTTTTAGGCTTTATTTTCACAAGTTCCCTAGAAATGTACAAAAAATGCAAACAATCAAGACTTCTGTCGTTAAATCACTTTGTCTCTTTACAAAATTCCAGACAAAGCACATGAGCTAAAAAAGACAATTTCTTTTATTAGCATTCATCCTAGGAAAAAGCCTCTTTTGAAACTTTTCAGTGAGTATGATATCAAAAAGCCACTGGAAGTTGGTTCACCGATCTGGCTTTCCGTCCACCTGAACATCTAATGGCGGGGGGGGAGGGGGAACCTTTTTTATTTTGCACTTGATCAACACCACAGTCTGTTTCTCAGGGCAATGAAAAAAAATGCTTAATATGAGACAACAGCCAACTACAATTTAACCCTCAATAAAAGCCTATTTTTGGCAGAAGGTTCACCTTTCTTTAAAATTACTATAAGCAGGAGTTAAAACCAATTTACCTTAAATACTGATCATATCAGGATTAAATCTTTTCATAACTGTAGCAAAGCCATTTCTGCTCACTGAGGGTTTGAATTCTTCAAAAGACTGATGTTAGACAGGCAAATAGCAGACAGAAAAGCCAATTTTCTCTTAGAATTTAAGCAAGACCTTGTCCATCTCCTTGAGTAACTTGTCTCTATTTTTCCAACCAGTGGCAGGAAATCTTCATTTCTACAGCTGATGTCTATACTCTTGATCTCCACATGCCTCATCCTCGCCACAACACATTTTGTGCATCCTTCTAGGATTAAAAAATGTACTGCTTCCCTGAGTGCACAATAAGGCACTGCATTTTTATCATTTCCAGCGTTGTAAATGGCACAGGCCATTACAGAACAGCCTGCTTGAAAAAACAGGATACAATATTCATGTACTTTGTTAGAGGAGACAGATCTACTTTTCATGGTGATCAACTAAGGCAAGGAAGACTTTCATTTCATTAAAATAAGGAACCAAGGATGAAGCAGCCTTAAAACAAAATACCTTCAGTGTAGCAGTTAAATTTGAGCAAAAAGGGCTACAAGCCCACACTCAGGACTGTCAAAAGCAGAAATTATAGTTAAAAGGTTGATCGAGGGGCACTGGGGAAACTGGCAATGGGCAAGGAACTCTGACAGAAAGGAGTTGTACAAACCTCATGCATCCTTCCTGGAGATCCAACATCAGCATGAAAGAGTAGTGTCAGAGTTTGAGATCAAGTTTTAAGAACGTGCTGAAGCACTGCCCTCAGTCAGGATCAATGTAGATAACGCATCTCCCCGGTCAATGCAACCATGCACTTAAATTTCTTCCTTCCCACCCTGACTGCTCACTGTCCTCATTCTTTCTTAGCTGTTTTCTCCCACTCGCAGGCCAAGGCTACACTCCTTGATTATCTGCCACAACACAAGATGACTCCTATGACAACAGTAACTTTCCCAGCACAGTTGAGCGCCCACAGCGGGGTTACAGAAGAGGGAGATGGTGCAACAGTCCCCCAGGTATTTGCTTCCAGAAGACTATCCAAATTCTGATTAGGGTGCGAACTAGAAATGTGTGTCCCATCCCATCACACCCCCCTCGCTCCCCCTGGAATATAAGACCACAGCTGACAGAAAGACAGGCTTTTGGCTGTGAGAGCAGCTGTTCTTTCCCCACTTCTGCCAAGGAACAGGGATGGTGAGCAGACGTTGATTCAGATTAAGATGTTGTGTTGAAGCTATATAATTAAGCTTACACAATATGCACCTATACCACGCCCGGCTCTAAGAGAGCTGCTGCACTTCCAAACTTCTACCAATACCTTTAAGGTTACCCCAAGACAGATAACATCACAGCAGCAGAGAGATCAACTTGCAGATTGGCAAGATATCTCCCTAAAATTGAACCAAAGTTCCCAGCTACTTCCACAAATATATATATTGATAAAATGATATAGGTAGGAAATAAATCCTGCTATTTACTTAGCACTTTTTAATATAAGAACTACGATGTTCGTTTTAAGGCTCAGTGACAAATCCTGTTTAGTACATCATCACCTTATTAAAACCTGTCACACGTGCAGGGACTGCTAAGTTATGTTAAGTATGCTGTTAGCTTGACAAAATACAGCCTGCTGCTTTCCACCCGACTACGCTGCAGCAAAGATGGCACATTTTCAAGGGGTGGGAAACAGACACTCTCTCCTTTCCTCACCAAGGCTCCAGATCCAGTTGAAACTCTGAGCACAGTAAACATAGGCAAGGTGTCTCAGCCACAAGGGCAACGCACCAGAAACTCAGCCATAACACTCCACTCCAGATCCACGTACATACATCAGTCATTGGGACGTGACTGCCACCCAACTGCAGTAAGTAAAAGAAATGGAAACAGCCATTTAAAATACTCCATTTATCCAGATATGAAAAAAAGGCTAGACTGACGCTAAACAAGAAGGCAGTTCAAAAGCAAAAACAAAAGATGCCTCAAAGTGACAAGATATTGATAAAGGCAAAAATTACAACTTTTTGTCCAGTAATCAAAAGGAGCACAAAGTTCTTTTGCACAGAAGGCAAATATCTGACAGCATTGCCAGTGCACGGCATAGTTCATGCCAATGCAGTCACACATGGTATTGGTGGTTTCGGCCATCAGCAAAAGACTGGAAATAACAAAGGAAATGCCAGAGTCAGATCCTTAAACATCTTGCAAGGGGGTATATTAATATCATCACTTGAGCATCTTCACTTGTGCTACTGGAGGGCAAGTGTAGAAACCCAGTGTTGTCTCCAGTAATTAAAATACCCTTCAAAGGGAAACCTTTGTATGACACTTTAGGGAATGAAGGTTTCAGCTATACACCAAAAGTATGTCAATGCCACTTTGTACTCTGTACCAGTCTTCTTTGGAAGATACAACAGATCCAGTATTTTCTGTCAGCAGGATTCCAACATGACCTGTTACTCTAAGCATCAGTGACGAAAGTGAAATTTACCTTTTGTCTCTCTACATGTATGAGTAGTTATACATATAGTTCATACAGTCTCGCTATCTGCAAAGTCCGGTTAATTAAACCTTTGGTTTATACTCATCCACCTATTTCAGGAAACGACTTCAGCAAACAGATATACTCTTTGCTTGTTCATTGAAGGGTTTTTTAATGTGATGAGAAACGGAAGCTTCTGATTAACCACATGTGACTCTTAACTACATAAAAATCAACTGGATTTTCAGCAATTTCTAAGCTGTTCACACTTTCCTAAAAAAAGCCTCAGTGCTCAAGTCTTTAAACAGTTCATCCAATAAAGCTGATGTCATATACCAGGTACTACAGATGCATCTCAGCTGAAAGCTGGCAAGATTAATCTCCTTTTGCCCAACATCCCGAGCCTTGCAGGAAAACAAAACCAAAAAGAACAAATAACCTCAGGTCTTGACAAGCAAAGCTTCTTCCATTGGTATGATTCAAAACATAAATGTTACGTTATTTTCAACATACGAGTCCCATCTATGCACCATGAAACAATGATGAAAAAAAGTATGATGCAAAATCTTCTTAAATAGTCACCCAAAATATAAAGAAAGCATAGAGAAGCTTGATGCAAAATCCAGAAATAGTCCAGGGCAGTGCTTGGGTATCACTAAAGATTTAAGGACTACTGGGGATTATGTGGCCAGCCACAAACTGTCTCGTAAGAGGTCATGACAGTGTTCTCTGCTGCTAAGAGGAGTGAACAGACTGCCATTCCCCATTAGAGGTTTGTCTATCTGTTAAAAAAAAAAAAAACAACAAAACAACCAAGGAAGAGCATACAGTCACGCAGCTGATCGTCGACGAATCACAAAAACACCTCGCTGCAGCTGTCCCAGATAGATTCTCATCTTTGTGCTGTCACTGGTTTTCCTCACCCAGATCTGAATGAAAGAAAAAAAGAAAGGGGCAGGGAGATATATTGGGGAGAAAAAGGGAAAACCCACAGTAAGCAATACACAGACAAATAAGTCCAGGTATTCTTATTGCAAGATCTGAACATCTCTGTTACTCAGGGTGCACAGATGATTTAGCTTAAGCCCTTCTCCCTCCCCATATTAGGCATTTGCAACCTGAGTAGAAAATGAAATAAGGTTTCTAACTTTACCACCTTAACTTACTGCTCAGAACAGTCATCAAGAAAAATTACTCTTTCCAAGCATCATCAGGAAAGCAAGTTTCCTCCTGCTACAGTTCGCAACAGAACTCTGGCATTAAGCTTTACCTTATCAAGAGTAAGTCTCTCTAGATCCACAGATATAAAATTATCTATCCTGGGATTTGCCCAGACAAGTAACTATTAGTCAAATGAAAAGCTTATTCCGAGTTTGTTCAGTGAAGCATTTCTCACAATGTATTAAATAAATTGTAACTGAAGATAAAAGGGCCTCTTTTTTAAATACCTGCGTGGAAGAATTCACATAACTTGTTGATATACAGTATGTTTCAAAGGACAAATTGCTTCCATGGAGGCAGCCACTCAGAATTTTTAAAAAATAAAAATAACTTTCAAGAAGTTTAGATCCAAATACCTGTACTTTAAAAATCAAATCTGAGCAAAACTCCTCTGCATTTTATCATTCTAATGCATTTAAACATATTTAAATAAATGCGTGGAAAATAAGACTTATCCAGCTCTTAGTGCTAGAGTGTTTTAGGACACAATATTGCCTACTGCAAAAGACTATAAAGTCAGTGCTGGCATGCGATTTATCCAAAACTTCTTTTTTAGATACCATATTAGCTACAGGCCTAGCACAGTAGATTGATTTAACTCTATTATTTTAATTATAAATTGACTTTACTAGCAGAAGCCCTCAATATAAAATAAGTATAATATTTGCCTGCATTTGTACTTCAGTCATTTCTCTAGAGAAATTAGAATCCACCTTCATTGATAATCATCACTCCACTGCAACGTTTCCAAGAATTTGGTATATTTTACTAACCAAAAGGATTCTTAAATCTACAAATTCTGAGCAACTGTACAACAAACATGTACAGTTTTACGTTCCATCCCAATACGATGGAATGGTATATTTGTTTTGCTAAAGTTAACTGCTTTGTTAAGTTCCATTTGGAGGAAAATTAAAATTCAGTTTTAAGTGACCACAACAGTGAAATTACCTATTAACACTAAAATGGGCCACACAGCTCAGAAAAATAAAAGCATCAAGACATATTCTGAACTTAAAACTGATGTTTTAGACATACAATGTATTTTGCAATCAGAAGATAACATCTATTAATTCTAAAGAACTGAAGGAGATGGTGAATAGAAACAACCAAATCCATCTTTGAATTTCTTTTATTCCTAGACTGTAAAAGAAAAATACGCTTCCTCCATTTTTCAACTTCCAACAAGCCAAGACTGCTGAATAAACTCATGGGAATAAAAACTTTCTTGCACGTACCAAAGGGTTTATTATTGTCAAAAGGCAAATGATTGAATTGGTTTCATGCACTTGGCCAATGATTTCCACCAACACAGTATTTGATTCACAGTTTCCAAGGAAATCACATTGGAAGTAATACAAATATATTCTGTTTAGGTCTAAACACATCACCAAGTTCTAAAGAATTTGGGCCTGGGAAGATATTTTTCGTTTGTTTTTTAAGGGCGATGATCATAGGTCAGACTCTGTGTTGGAGAGGCCCATTGCCAATTACAAAATTCAAATCCAGTTTAAGAAAACTGATTTAGACCTTCATATGATCAAAGATGCCTCTGATACACTGTTAACTACTTCCTTTCCCCAGCCACAAGGTGGCAACTGTATGCCATAATATCTCTGACGTTTCTTAGTTAAGTCTTTTCACTTTGAGCATTAATGGAAATGCTGATGGGGAGACACTCTACAAGTATTTTTGGTAAAGTTCCTTTGAATAACTTTACTCCCTTTAGAAATGCTATCAACTTTTGACTCCAGTCTACAATTAGGGACCTCAAATCTCGGTCTGCCTTCTAGCTTCTAAATTCAAGCAGGACCCAATAAGATCATAGTTTGGCAACCATGCTTTTGAATGTGTGATGAAATCCAAGGTGTGCACATTGCACTCCTAAGAGAACACCGTCTCATTTCAGTGTTAAGTATTTATCTCCCCTGGCTTTATATTGTTGCAAGGAACCATCACAGGGCAAACAACTGCCATGCTTCCTCCCCAGCCTCTCAAAAAACCTCCACAAAACTAAACCAAAACTTATTGTCTCACTTTGAAGTGGAATTCATGCAATTATAATGGATTGCATTTCCTTCAGGTTTTGGGTAAGATGCTCCCCAAAAGATTGAGTTTTAATGTTTTAAGTTAACAGTAATAACTTTAATCAAATTAGCAGTACTATATTTTTAACGCATCTGTTAGCACACTACTACTACTTTATCTAAATAACCAACCGTTGAGGGTAACAACTGTTATTGCAAGGAGAACAGTTGTGATACAAAGCATATCCCATATGCAACTCATTTTGTTGAAAATAAAATATTTTCCCTTAGCTGCCAAAACAAATTAAAGTTACTTTATTGGCTGATTGAAGAGAATTGCGTTCAAGTCTATCATTTCTTTCCCTGAAGTGTCTGGAATCTGCAAGTGAAGAATAAACTGCTCCCTTTGCCCAACTGATGCACTGCTCAAGCACTAAGCTTATTTTGCAGCAAGATTCACGTCAATCTTGGGCACGCACCCCTCTTCACCTGCTTCTCTAAGCCTTAATCATTAGCCACAAGAAATTGTCTCAGACAAATGACTCACCTGCCCTATCTCCCAAGTAGGTGATGAATGCTGCCAGCTTACTTCACAACACACGTACTCAGGTTAGCAGGAAGAATTTTCTCCCCTTATAACAGATAAATTTGGTGACAAAAATTTTTCCTCATCTTCTTCTGGATTCCCAATGGGATTTTTTTTTTTTTTTTAAATTTTGCATTAATAATAACTGTATGTATGTTCTTGAAATAATGGAAATGGAACTTATTAATTTAGTGCTAATGAGATGCAACATGTCAGTTCTCCCCATTTTTCCTGCCTGCCAAACCACTACTTGCAAAATGTAGGATCATTCTTTAGAAACACAGCAAGTCTCTTCCCATCTCAGATCTCTCTCAAGAAGAGATCTCTCAACTCAGTTTTATCTTGGATTCAGCTTCTTTAAACACCAGACAACTACATCTTTTCTGATAGTAATATTGATTTTCTCTTAGTCCTTACTAGACAGCTATCTACCTGCCTACACTGACCCACAGCTTTCCCCACTCCCATGAAAAACAAAAGCAGCCCGCTACCTCGTTGGCACCCACAGAACTGATCACACAGCTGATCTTAGTGTTCTCTTTAGACTCCAGGTAAATAGCCTGGCTCTTGTGGTACCTGCAAAAATAAAAATAAAAACAAAAAACCAAAAAACACATGAAACCATTAGCTGTCCAAAGACTGAGAAAAGAAACAGTAGTAAGATTGATAAAGCTAGAATTCTACAAACATTTGGATAGAGAAACGTGAAGTCTGTCTTTCTTTCCACACCACTTTCCCCATCTTCACCAACATAGCGCGTGGTCTGATTCTACACACACACACTTCGCATTCAAATGATGCTTCAGAATGCATGGAACACTCTCAATTCACATTCAATTTTGTACGCAGATTACCGAAAACAGTTTTCACATCTGAAAGAGGGAGGAGCACAGTACCAAGCCACAAGATAGGAGAACACTGATTGACCATAAGCCCATGTTTCATGAGTTAATCAAACTAGCCTTTCACATTTCAGACACAGGATGGATTTTAGAAGGCAAATATTATGCCTGATAAAATGTGACAGAGCGAATCACAGATACTAAAAAGTTACTCACATTCCCCAATACAAAATTACTAGTGCAACAACAACAAAGTGAATTGTACTCAATCAGTGCAGTCTATATATTGTTTAAACAGAGACCTCAAATTTCTAATACTGTCTTATTTTGTGAAAATATCCAAACTGGTAAGTGATGGGTAACCGACTCTTAAGAAGCTGTATATACCTGCCACAAGGAGGCCATGTCTAAGCATATCAATTTTTTTCCCCCTTTTAGATCATATTTTAGTCATGCTATATATTTTTCTTAGTGCATTTTGTATAAAACAAAGTAAAAACTTCAAAATTCATAACTCTGAATTGCTTGATTTCATGGTCTTGCCTTCTTCGCAGACCATGTTTCTGGTAAGTGCTGCAAAAACAGTGTGCTAGACAGAACTCCCTAGTTTCTGTTTATTCTGCCTGGGAGAGTTCTGTAGGCAGAACTAATTATTCTGAAACAGATTATTTGTAAGTAAATAATCTTAATCAAGAGAGCACCAAAATGCTTTATAGTTATAAAAGCATAACTGTATTTCCACCTTTACCCTAATCATGATGTGCTTCATATTTAACTGGGCAATCCAAGTTGCAGAATCACTGCACAGAGATTCCCTCAGCAGCTACTCAATATGCAACTCCCTGCAGTCTGATTGGCTGACAGCCATTTGTCAAAATGCATGGATTTACATAATCTTTACAGCTATTTCTACAATAACCATACTGTAAATATGGAAGTCTTCCAATAGTTTATTCCATAATCTTTTCCTACTGGCTCATTACTCAGAATTTTCACACTGCTTGCCAGTAACAAGAATGATAGTGTCAGCTTTCAGCCTTCCAAACATATTCATTACCAATGGGCTGGGTGAGGTAATTAAAAAAAACCACCTCAAATTCTGCAACCTTTAGACACTTGTGCGCTACCATTATTCTTTCTCCCTCATTTGAACAGAAAGGATGTCAGTGGGTTCCAGGGCGATGTAATAGCAGCAATGATCTGAGCCCAAAAACTCAGTTTACTGAGCTCAGATGATTGTTAATGGATATAAAGGAACAGTATAAGCTACTACAAACCAGACCTCACTAAGATAAGACATAAAAATTTCAGTCCAGCAGTGTCCTACCATGCCATACTATCAGTGCTTAAGCAAGGAGAATTGATGATCTTGACAGAACAGTGCACAAGCTTCCGAGTGCAGAAGATACCACTGCAAATGACAGCTCTCAAGTGGTATCTGTGCCTGTACAGATAATGAAATAATTTTCCACTCAAAGCTGTTGCTTCCAGTTTTTGATTATAAGTGAATTCCAAAGCTAATGACACACATGAAGCTGGCTTCAGCCCCTGGATTTCACATCACAAGTTACCATCCATCAGTAAATCCGTTAACTGTGCACAGAAAAGGTGAGGTAACAGGTTAGTTCAGCACTTTTTCGTTGAAGAGTTGTCTCAACTCTCTCATGCTTCAGGCACGCAGAGAGACAGGTCAACTGAAGGCACAACAGCCTGGTACATCTCAATTACATGTTCATGTCCCAGCCTTTTGCCGAGTTTATATACCCACAGGGGAATAGAGGGGTAGAACTGAGGAAAATACTTCAGATGAAAAATGCAATGGAATTTAAGTTGGCTTTCAAGAGAAGAAAAGTGCCAAACAACTCTTGCTTTTGCAGTAGGTAAAATACACCACAATACTGACAAGTGAGGCAAGCAGAAATAATTCCACTTTCTGCTACAAAATATTTTGCTGAAAGGTCAAGATTTTCAACTGCATCTCCATCAGAAGATTGAAAGAAATCACTCTGCGTTATTGTATGCAGACAAAGCTAAAAGCAAAAACATGGTTGTTTCACAGTGAACTGTATTTTAGGATCTGACAGGGGGCATGGAGCAAATTGACTGAGGATAAAAAACTAAAGTCTAATTCCACATCCAGCTGAAACTCCCTATACAAAGTCTCCACTTTGGAGATATGTTTGTGAAATGTCTCTGCAAGACCTTAGGAAGTCCATTACTAGCCTTAAACATTCACTACATTGAGATAATAGTCCTTCGTGGCTGCTGTCAGGAAACAGAGAAAGGAGTCACTCCTGAGCTGTCACTTTTATTATTTCTGGTGTGTGCCAGCAGCTACGGCCTTAATACACCTTAGAAAAAATTAGCCTCCCACTATCAAGAGTTACTTCATTATTTTAAAATACCAGCTACTTTGCACAAGTACTATTACTATCAATCAAAAAATGTAAGCAGGATTATTACAGCCAAAAAATGTAAAATACTTATCTTAAAACAGCATAAGAACAAGGAAGACAGGGAAGGCAACAGCTGGAATTTCTGACAGTGAGACCCCCGTGACAATTGAATTCAGCAAGATGAAAATATCTGTTAGTGTTTTATGTCCCAACTAGATACCTTTCAGAGAGAGCTGGTGCTTTTGAGAGATTCACCTGGGCTCACTGAAGCTCTCCCAGGTTTAAATTTGGTAGGAGATCGGGAGTTTTACTGACAGATTACTCCAGATTCCATCCTTCCTTTTTTTTTTTCCTTTACTTATGCAACACTTTACAGTACTCCACATGCTTAAAAATTCTGAAGAACAGGTTATTCATCCAAATATATCCTAGAGGATAGTCACTTTACACAAAAAAAATTATGAAAGCAAAAAAAGAACATAATGAATTTGTGAAGTGACAAGTAGCCTGTTCAGTTCGTGTCTGCTTTACGTTTCACGGAAGTTTAAGCTCCAGGCAGCAGCTTTTATCAGAGTTGTATACATTGAACCCTCGATGAAACTTCGTTGTCAGAAGACTAGCAGAAGGAAAAACTGACCAACTGTGCAAGATGGCTGCTGTGTAGAAAACAAGCTTCACACCTATCATTTCCCATGATAAAATTACAACCTCGTCACTTGTTATTTTGAGCCACCAGAACACCAAAGTAGGCTACAAATAACGATACGACTTGCAAATTGCTTTCTGCTCAAGGAGTACTAGATTGCCCCCTTGATTATTCCGTTTTGCATGTCTCATGGGTTAAGTGTAAGACCTACTAAGATTTCTCTGCAAAATTTAATATTTTCCTTGTGTTTTGTGAGGCTTGCACAGCTACATGCCCATAAAACTTAACAGAGCTAAATCCAATCAGCAATTCTGAAGTTGCTTCTCCCATGCGGGGTTGGTCTTTAAAGGTTATTTGGATTTATTAGAAACATTTTTCACTCTGCTCATCTGGTGCACAGCATTTCTTCCACCACCTTGTGGAACGATGGGCTAGTGTTCTACAAAACTAAACACCAGGATTGTGAATACTGCCGACACCACTGTACCTGCACTCACAGAGTATCTGTATCCTAGCTGACTGGCTTCACAGCTACATCACACCGCGTCTGCTGGTGGCTCTCTTACTTAACATTAGGTTTGACAGAAATGTTTCCCAAGTGTCAGCGCTACTGACTCCATGGAAAAGATTTAAGTCTCCTTTTATTCAAGGCAGTAGTTACTCCTGAAAGTCTATGTGGTCTAAACACTCTATTACCACATCTGATTTACCAAAGTCGCAATGATTAGCCGTTGAAGGAAGTGGCTAACCTCTGCCCAAAAACATTTTGTCCTCAAATTCTTTTATGAAAGCCTTTTCTCTCTGCATTCTTTGTCTCCTCACGACACAAGGCTCAGACTGATTAGAACAGAAATTTACCAGGACTTACCATCTCTTATCATAGTAGAGTTTTCCATCTTCTATCCGGGCTTCAAACCGCTGTGCCGGAGACTCTGCTGGTGTAGCTGGGAGGTGTTCGGGAGAGGAGGGAGAGGCTGAGAACAGGAGAGAGACTGTGTTTAAGCCCAGCGTGTGTCTACCACACCGTAGCACATCTAACTGCAGAATTGCAATTAATAAGGTCATATTAAGCAGAAATAACAAGCACAGAAAGCTACAAACTCAGGTTTCCATCAGAAAAATATTCTCTATTGGGACGAATAATTCAACCTCTGCCTTGAGTATATAAATTGTAGTATTCACTGAAATATAACATTTACCTGAAAAAATGTTGATAGGTAGGTGATAGACAATATGTCTTTGATTTTCTCTTAATTCTAGTCTATAGTAATTAAATAGGGTCAGAATTATTTAGGCAAGTCTTGAAATAAAGTGTACAAACACATCTAGAGAGCTGAGGGCATAAAACCGTAAGTTCTCAATCCCTCCATCTACCTGACAAGCAGACAAGCTGCCCAGATGCATCTGAATATAATAGTAAAATCTCTTTACACAGTTAGATTGTCCCGTGCCCAAATGTTTCAGCCACCAAAGATGCATACGCCTCCCTTCCCATCCCTGGCAAACTTCAGAACAGACAAAGAGACTCCACACAGCACCCATTTGCCATAGCAGCTACACAGAAAACAGCAATTACACAGTCAAAACAATTACACGGTCAAATTACACAGTCAGCAATTGTACAGTTAAAAAGTCTACAATAGAATTCTCTCTTCAAAACAAAAAAACTGTGAACAAGTTCCAATGCAACTGTTAACTCACCTGGTCTCTTGGGTGATTTAAGCTATGTGGAAAGAGAGCAAAGAAGCATTAGAGATATGACATGAGCCACAGAAGTCTGCTGTAGTAATTTCAGACAGTCTTACTTTCCGTACTCTAAATGGTTCTTTTTTTAAATGTACCGTTAAGTGGCATAACACATAACCAGAACAGCATGCTATAAACAGCCAAAGGTGTAGATAATCAGTGTCATGATACAAAAGGTCTACAAACTGAACTTCAGAGCATTCAGATAATCCACTAAAACAAGTCAAAACCAAACCCATCTAACACACTGTATTTTTGAACATGATCCAACGTTTCTCAGGGTACATGAAATACAGGAGAGAAATCATTAGAGACACCTCAACAGCTGGCACAAAAAACATGCTCCGCTACCATCCTCAAAAGCCTTAATAAGCAGCCTCTATGGTAAGAAATTACATAAACCTTAGGGGTGTTTAGCATGAAAACAATAGCTTAACCAAATCTAGAAAAACTGTAAACATACACAGTGCACCCTATCCAGCTTGCTGAAGTATCACAACACTGGGGAGATAAAAAATAAAAACAAAAAAAAACCCCCTAAAAACCACCACCCCACACTAAGGCCTAAAACAGAGGCAGCCTGTGATCTCGCAGAAAGACGTGTTAACATCTGTTCAGCCGTGCGGAGGAAGAAAGAAACTCCTTAAGACAGCTCATCACTTGGTTCAGACAAAAGGTAACATTTTTAGATGACAGTTATTTTAATTAGGTTAATTAAACGTATTAAAATAAAAGAGAGGAGATACCATCTTGCTAAATCTTTTATTGTGTTACTTCAGAAAGCCTACTGGGATGAAATAGTCCCACATCTCAAAAAGGAACATAAAACAGGGCTCTGTTCTCTTCAGGGGAAAGCATTAGCTTTCTCTTTAAAACAAAGAAATACAAATCAAGCAATAATCCCTACCTTATTCAGTGTTCTCAGGTCCTCCATTATTTGCTCATCAGTCAACAAATAATTTAGCTGAGGTATTCAGAATTAAGGTTCCCATAAGCTCTTGACAATCAAGGCTAAAAATTAAAGGTCAATGACATTTCACTTGACTAAATGTAAGCCAAAAGGTTTCTGTAAAGTTGCACAAGATTTTAATAAATGTCATACTTGAGCTTTTTTTGTCATATGAATTAATACAAGTCCATCTCCACAGAGTCTCATATTTAGCAGCACATAGATTGCAAAATCATTTTAACTTATTCAGACATAACCATCAATGAAAAACCTTTAGTGCATTGACATTTACTTCACGGGGGCATCAAGCACTAGCATTTTCAGTATTTTTCATCTTGCATTTCTGTAGAGAACAACCTGGGAGCTGAAACACAACAGACTCGCTTCAGATTTTGTATACAATGAAGCCAAATCCCACCCAAATCTAGGAAAAGAAACTCATTATTTTGCAACTCAGTAAGAAGGAATAGAGAGATAGGGAGAAGAGGGGAAAGCCCCACAAAAAACAACTCAAAAAAGAACCAGAAAATAAAGCCAGAGGCACAAAACACATCCTTGTGTGGATGAAGATAAATAAGAGCCTACCATTCACCTGAAAACAAAAACAATAACTTCTGTGTTCTGAGATTGTGTATTTTAGCCTTATCAGAGCTCTGCTGTCATTTTGCGTAGTTTCACAATTGCATCTTCCTTTTCTATTGCTCCTCTGTCATTTCCACACAAGAAACCCCTAAGTACACAGCAAGAAAACAATATCCAAAGCAGTAGACCCTCCCCCCAGCTTTAATGACAGTGTTTCTTCAAAACAGCTGTTAAGTCAAAAGCATCCAAAGTATTAAACTAAAATTAACAACTGCTAGGCTGCATTTTAAGGATTTTGGTTCTGATGGACTTTAATCCTCTCCCCAGTGAGGAAAGGTAGACAGTTTCATACTGTGGCTGCTGTATCATGCTCAATTAGTAGGTCATGTTCACTATGAAACTCATCTATTTTGGATGAGATAGGGGCACTAATAAATAGATTTTTTTTTCCCCCGAAAGAGTGAACAGAATCTCCAACCAGAAAGAGGTTAATTAAAACTGGAGATGCTTGTGATCATCCCGCATGAACTCTAGAAGTTCAAGGTTTGATATTGCGTTCAGAAAATGTGAGTCACTCAGAAGTCGTAAGATAAGGTTTTTTAATCTGATTTAAGCCATACAAGTTTGGAATCTAATAATAAGCCTCTGCAAAGCAAATATCATTGCCTTCCTTTCCAAGTGAATTTAATATACAAATAGAAAAAGTGCCTATCATCACAGAGGAGCTAAAAACGTATTTCCAGAAGCCAAGGCACATTTTAATTTTAATAAACATGCAACAAGGCAGAAGAGAAGGATTACATATACATGTTTTTCTCTCTCTTGTGATATATAAAAACAAGGCAGATTTTAATCTCTTTTTTTTTATTCAAAGAACAAATCTAGCATTCCTTGCTTTTGCTATGCAACTCTCTGGATTAGAGATCTGAAGCCTTTATCGGAAATGGAAAAACTAGTTTGATATGACACATATGATCTTTCTGGCAAATGTTTTGTCACATCTTGAAATGAGAAAAGCTTTGGCTCATGTAAAAAGCCATTTACTATCTATGGAATCAATTACCTCAGCATTTATATGTAATGTTCTTTTGAAGTTTTTTCTTTGTGAAAAAAATTGCCTGAAGAATTCAAACCATTCTCACTGACAAAAAAAAAAAAAAAAAATCAAGTAAGTTATCTCACAACACTGTGAAGTTTAAGTTAGGATACCAAGGGATCTCCAAAGACTGGTTGTGTTACATTAGTTTATCACACATTATACATGACAAATTGTACTTCAGTATTTCCTAGATTAAAATCTGATCCTAGCACCTCATTTCATTTTCCTTCCTGCACAAAACAACAGATGCAGGTAGCACGCTGGCCTCAAATACAATAGCCCTCCAATTCCTCTGTAAAAGGATATCAGGGGCAGGTTTCCTCCTCTTGTCTGGGATAGGAACTGGATCATTTGGTCGTCGCCTCAGTTTCCTTGTCATAATAGGCTTCACTTCCATTGAATCTGTAGAGTAATGAAGATAGAGCGCTGATAAGACCAGAGGGAAATGAGTAAGAAGCAGCAGTTTTCTACACAGGGCACAAGGAAAATAATCTTTCATACAGAAAATTGGATTTTTTTTGTGATAGCTTCCTGCATCCAAGCTGGAACTGCTGACAGTGAATACAAGTTTCTCTTTCATACCAGGTCACTGTTCAGTAACAGCGTTGTGATGCCATGGTTACAGCTTTCGTTGGCTGGAAGTGGCACAGTTGGTTTGGGGGCATTTTACAGCTCCTTCAGGCATAGATAACAAGTGCAATGATGCTACAAGGATTCAGAGCAAATTTCTTTAATGCTAATGCTATCTGCTTTTGCACAGATCATTTAAAAGGCAAAGTTCACGGAGTTCTTCGCTAACAAAACTTGGATAGTTAATAGCATGTAAAACATCAGCTACAAATCAATTGCTTTCTTTTTCTTCAAGCTGGAAAAATAGCTTTGTCAAAGGACTACAGATAATTACTGCATGCAAGACTGATACAAGTCTGCTGGAGCAATTTTAAACACAAATAATATTTAAATTCAGATTATCTAAAAATGTTTCAAATTATCATTAATGAAATGAACCTAATTAAGAACATGGAGAGCAGCAGTTGACAGGAAATAAATTGTAGTATAGACACTGGGGAAAAAGAAAAAAATCTGTTTAAAATTGAAACACTAGTCTCATCACCAAGTAATTATCTGAAATTACAGTTTGTCCAAATGTCTACAGATAGTCTTAACTGAACTACTCAAACTGTCACAAATCATTCCTTAATTTATGAAGGTATCTTGAATTGGCAGCCAAGAGACCATACCTTAAATGCTAAACACATCATCTCATCGCCCCTTCTATGTGTTGAGAATTATTCGCCCATCTTTAAGTACACCTGAATCACATCCTAGGTAGCACTTAAGTCTATAAAGCCTCTTTGGCTCCCTCTAGATGCTCAAACCTCAAGCAGCTATGCGTGTTCAAAACACACCAAATTACTTTACTCCTTATCTCAAGGGTGAACAAGGATGACCATGCTGCACATCAAGGGAACAAATATTATGATAAAAGCTGTTTAAAAAAAAAAAAAAAAAAAAAAAAAAAAGAAGTGCCACCCACTGAATGTATGCCAAAAGAAACCTTATCTCTAGAATTCAAAGCTGAATTTGAAAAACACTGAACATTAATAGCCCTGCAGACACTAAAAACGTAACTTACTGTGTTGAACATAAGCCATTCTTCTCATTTGTTAAGACTGATTTGCAAGAGCCTCAGAAAAGGGGTTTGAAGCACTTACTCAAGGCGATACGCAGCCAAGGCGGGAAGGCTTTTTCTCCTTTTTAAAAATTAAGTTTCAAATGAGTTGTCACAGAGTTATCTATATTGCTTAAAATGTGAATAAGGCAGAGAGATCAATTTTCTTCTCTCTTTATCTTAGCATCCTGTATCTTAAAATTCTGAAAAGTCAGCTGAAAGTCAGAAAAAAACCCAGAGTTTGAGAGTCTTGCATTTACTGTTAAACATTTGAAGAACTTGAAGATTCTCGAGAGATTCATGAAAACTTTATAAAGGAAGTTGAAGAGCTGCTAAAGCACCAACAGATTCAACCTGAAACAGTCTTGCATGAGGCTTTATAGTTAAGAATCACACTACACAATGCTCCAGAACAGGAGACAACTATTGCAACCTAATGAAACTGCAACAACACTCACAAGATGAGCCTATGCATCAGGTTGCTAACTTGCATCCTTGTATACACTGAACTTCCACAGGTTGTAAAAACCATCAAGTCCACATCAGTTCCACTATTCTTATTTCTTAGCCTCCAGCGCATGTTCTCCACAAAATCTGTTACTTCTAAAGAAATCACATTGCATTTCTGCTAGTCTGGAAGGAAGGAGATAAGGGAGGGCTAACACACACAGAATGGATCTCTTCTCCACACTTAAATGCCTTTTCCTAGAGTTATATTTGATGGAACAGCTCATCTCTTCAGGACACCCAACAATGGGGGGACACATTTCCCTGAAGTGGATTAATCTGGTCCCCAAATCAGACTACTAAATACTTCTTTTTACCCCTCCCCACTCTTCCTTTAACTAGGCAAATCCAAATCCTGATGTTAACAGCTGTCCCACGGATAGAGAAATTGGATTCCTTCAGACTGCTAGAACATTGGTATGCAGATTTCCAAAGGTAAGATCTAGTCGGATCCTGATCTACTAATGAAAATCTGCTTACAAGTATCCCAACTTAGTAGTGAACAGACACAGGCAAAGGATAACAATAGGAAAGTTAAGGCTAAGGCACAGTTTGTAAGATCAGACTAGACTTCATAATTTAAAAAAAAAAAACCAAACAAAAAAAAACAGAGATCAGGAAAACAGCATAGCTCAAGCTGTTTTCCAGACCAAATTAGCCCTAACAGTTTGTACAAAGCCAAGAGCACTCTTGAATATGTCCAAACAGGTTTTAATTCTTGCTTCCGAAAACTAACTAAATTATTAGCTTATATAACTTCTGTAGATACCACGCAAGAAAGATATAAAAGGTCTAACGCATGGACAGACCTCAGCAACACAACCAACATTATCTGTCCATGAAGTGAGGACAGATAAGCGAGTGCTCTTAAAAAGAGAATCAAATCAGACTTCTGGTTCAGTATCACAGCAACACAATTTGAGGAGGAGGCTAATTACCCCTTTACTTAGCTCCACTGTGTCAATTACTGCAAAGAGCATTGCCAAGGCACCAAGGGTACCAACTGGTCTCATGAAAGAAATCTGTCCATTTAATGTCCATTTCCCAAAGTCTGGACACAAACGTAGCTCACAAATCTATTTTTCTGGCTTAATTAGCATATTTCAACCTTTACTGTTTGCCTTTCTTCAACTTCTTGACCACCTATTACTGGAGAAAAGGAGGACACAGTTTACAACCTGGCACCGCCGGTTAGGTCAATATTGTGGCATAACTCCATAGTTTTATTGCGAGATCACAGGAACTAAAGAAGCCCCTTTCCCTGCATTTAAGAAAGCCTATCGACTCCGCTGCTTCACGCCACTATTTTGATTCAACTGTTAGTAATTCAGGTCACTGAATCTTATTATGAACTGCTTTCTCCTTTAAAAGACCACCAATTTGTGTTCTATATCTGTTGGCATTTGGAAAGCTTTAAAGCCTTCACACTAGTTGTCTGTATAAACCAGCATTGCTACCTTTATATCTTTTTTTCTAAGCAGTAGCGGACTGGATAAGAGAAATGACAGATGCCTATCTTGTTTTTACCTCCTGTTAATTCCATGGTTAGCTTTTCATTCTCAATCATCTTCTTTTTCTCTTCCAACTCTGCAATCAAATTTTCCTTAAGCTCAATTTTCTTATCTTCAAACTCCTTCGCTGCTGCTTTCTTTTCCTTGACGTAATTTTTTTCCACCTGATCTGTCTAATGCAAAGCAAAAGAACAAAAAGGTTAACTAAGGAACCAGTGACTCAAGTTAATGATATCACAACAGCTTCTCTCAACTGCTGTATTGATTAGCTTTTCTGTTCAAAACTGTAGCCAGTTCTAAAGATTATCAACATTCATAATCAACAGAAAACCATCTAAAAATGACTAAGTAAGCAGTACTATATTGGCAAAAGAATTCATTATTTTTAAAAAACATTTTAATGTTGCATACCAGACCAAGTGTCTAGCATAAAGCTCTTCAGATTTATTAACAGCACGACCATTTACTACCTTAAACAAGCTTTTTAAACAAGCCAAATGCACAGCCAGTATACAGCAGCCCAAGAGCAAATACTTCTTTTAATTCTATTTTAATGACAAAGTCCAGAAATTACTTGAAGTAATACCAGCAGTAGGCTGTACTACATCAAGTGTAATAATGCTAGCTAGAGGAAGAAAATTTCTTTAAGCCTTCTGGGAAAACAAGCACAAGTACTAATTGATGAAACAGGAGGTTTAAATCTCTTCCATCTAGTTAATATATATTTTGATAAATTAAGAGTACTTACTTCCAGCTGGAGGAACAGTTCTGAAAGAGAAGACAGACTTAATTTATTATCTTCAAAGATGCACAAAATGACTTCCCTAACATTTTAAGTCATTGAATATCGCAGCCAAGAGGGGCAGTGAACTAAATAGTGTATGTACTCATCCAAACTCTACTCTCACATCGCAGTTTTATGCTGAAAATATAGTAACTAGGAAAAAATTCCACAAAAATATATTGTTAATTGAAGTTTTCTACAGATTGTCAAGCAGATTTGCAAAGCTTACAAAGCAGTACTCCATACTATTCAGTTCAGCCACTGTTCCCAGCAGTACTAAGCATGTAGTCCATCTTTCTTCCAGTTTAGTTACAATCAACTAATACCAGATATAAACTTCCCAGATAGAAGCTTAAAACATGTATCTGAATGTATGGCTGGCAAAAATTCACAGTTTAAGCCATCTTCATGAATTTCAGCAATGACTGGTTCAGAAATAATTCTGCATGTGTTAGCAGATTCATCTACTCAACTCACACGTGTCTCACTTCAGGCTGTTTATGCCTGAGAAAACAAGCAAGGAAATTGTTATGTATCACTGAAGGTTAAGTTCTAACACATGACAATGATTAGTTCAAGTCAGACCTATGGATCAGGAGAATGAATTTCTGGGTGTGAAATAGTCCTGCTATTGACGTTTGTGCAATTCCCAACAACTTGAAATTAAGCAGGATGGGAACCTTCTTGTGTTTCCTGGAGGACATAATGCCCAAAACAAAGTTTCTACTCAAGGTAGTGGCAAGAGAAGCCAACTAAGGCACCTGATCAGTCCTCAACTCACCATAAGTCACCAGCGTATTAAGCTTTGGCAATACTTGAAATAGCAAAAACTTCTGTAAAGATCACAGGCTTCAAATACGTTTCAGAGAAGACTGTAGTAGCAACACTGTACTACTGTGCCTTTTTTTTTTAAAAAATAATTTAAAAAACCAACAAAATAGAAACCAAAGATGGTAACGGCCCAATAAAACTCAAATGTTTTGTTTGCAAAGGGCTCTACCAATTGAGCATGGAAGCAGTATTATGGAGGTAATCAAATACAGGTCGATCTAAACTGTGAATTCTCAAACCCCAAAACCTCAACATGGGAAGGATAAACAAAAAAGACCATTCCTCCTGTAGTACTAGGCAGTTGGATTTTTTTTATTATAAAATTGAAAGTTATCACCATCTGCCCTCCTGTGGAAGAAATATGTTGCTGCAGCACTGGTCTTTGCCAGCCAGAAATACAAGTTTGCAGTTAGTCTTAATTTTATCAAAACAACCCAATATTACTAGAATGCAGCTCTAGTGTTCATGAAATTCTGTCTCAGAAGACAGATTCCTGCTAACAAGAAGTAGTTCAATTCACTTACATTCCTCAAGCAAATCCTTTACCATCCCAAGCACTTTATGAAAGATACACTTTATACTACTCAAAGGTTGGAGTACGTTAGTCATCATACAACTGCCACTGCCTGTCATATTTCCCAGAGTAACGGCCCAGGCGTTACAGGATTCATCCAACTTTTCTAAAGGAAGAACAGCTACATTTCCTATTTCCACGTAATAGCTTCTATAAAAAGCCCTGCTTCAGTATCCAAGATAAGAACCTACTGGAAAGAGAACAAACAAGAAAGAGGGAGGGCAGGCAAACAGATCTGATTTCCAAGCCATTTCTCCACAGTAACACAATAAAGGCTACCCAGAAGGGCTGAGAGCTAGGCACTTTAAAAATTAACTTGGGCTTCCGCTCCTGAAACAGAGCGCCAGAACACAAAGTACGGGCAGCCCATCCAGTGTCATATATACTATACAGAATAACAGTTTCAGCAGCAAACCCTCTGTATCAATTGTTCCAGGGCACAAAACGGATCTTTGGGAAAGCACGTAGTCCTAACTTTCCATTCCTGCAAACCAAAACAAACAGCGCACCTGAAGGTTTCAGGTAAGTTGCACAAAAGAACAAGCCGAAGTGGGAGACTGTAGGCTAGGCACGGTGCCAGATAAAAATGAAACAATTTTTTTACTTGCGCTTTTGCACACAAATGAAGACTGAAATTGTTTATTGGTGCTTAGTAAACAGTCAGCAAACAATGCTGATGATGGAAAAAAAAAATCTAAAAAAATCAAGATAGATCCCATCATGCTTCATGCACTCTCAAAAAAAACTATGCTCTACCCTCAGAAGCAGAAGGACCCTTTGCTCCAGCAAGTTCCTTTTCTTTAAAGGACAGAATTACCTTTTTTTTTTTTTCAGATGTTATAAAAAAACGTTAATTTAAGTTGTATGCAGCATCTTAGAAAGAAATTCAGCTTACCTGCATTTCGTATCCTTTCTTTGTACTGCTGGTCCAATTTTTTCATTCTTTTCTGATATTCCTGAAGAGTACCTAGTTGAAAAAAAATGTGGATTCCCACTTTATTTTTTCCAAGTATTAAATTTTCTCAAGGAGCCATACACCACTTGAAACACAAATACTAGTATCTGAAATCAGAAAACTACAGTTCTAGCTTGCTTATTTTGATAAGCATGTTCCCCATTTTTTCAGAAAGCCGACTACTCCTTTTAATAAATGCTTTAGGACACAGAGGTTTAACTACAAGTGTTTAGAGGGAAAAAGGATGGGAAGTGGCTGACATTTTTCACTAAGCAGCATGACTGGGAGCCACATTCAGTGAAGGATGCTGCTTACATCTTCCAAAACCCTCATCCTCCTATGACCTTTAAAAAGTGCTGAAAATTGTTTAGGAAGAAAAGCTATCCCCTTCAAAGCTTACCTTCCTGCAATTGTTGTAATTGCCTCTTCAGAGATGCCAGTTTGTCCTGATACATCCTGCAAAGATAGAGAGCATGCAACTTTACTTCGAAAAAAACCATACACCATTTATTTCACCATCTGTTTAGGTAGGTTACAATGTATTTACATGGAATTAAAAGCTTTTCAGAAGAACTTCAGGAAACAAACAAACAGCAACTACAAGAATATTATTCAAATGAAAAGTTATCATTCCATCTAAAAACCCTGCCACGCCATTGGTTTTACAATGCACCCAAACCATTGTTTTGGGAATAGTTCAGGATAATATAGGGTGGTGTTTTTTTTTTTTTAAAAATGTCGGAATCTAAAATGACGTTTAGATCTACAGACACCAGAAACTTTACAACAGAATCATTCTGCCACTTTGTCAAGTCTTAATATTTGTGTATTAGTTCCCTACTTATAAAACAGAAGGCTTTTCCTCACGTAGATCTTGACATTACAAAAACCCCCAGAGTCTATTCCTGGTGCTGTTGCAAACTTGCGTTTCCTTTCTCACATATCTGTGGTTTAACAAGTGTTCCCGACCTGTATAAAACCATGTCTCTGCCAGTAAGCAAGTACACAAAATACTGCAAATACACCGAAACATCAAGGGAAACTATTTCAGTCTCCAAAAAGCCTGTCTTCTTGGACAGGACTAGTATTCTACTGTTTAAGAGGTTTTAACAGGCATCTTGCTTTTTGCTTGGCTTATATAGAGTAGATGCTTTATTTTATTTGAAGGATCTGTCTGCAGTGGGATTCATTTGCAGCAAAACTCAGCTGCTCCCAGAAACTCCTCGTACCTATTTCTTTGTTCAAAGCAGTAGCAGTGCTTAGTTTCTTCAATACATATAGAACAGAGAAAGTGACTGAGGAGAGAAGAAATACAAGTATATGGACTCATTGGCTATTACATTGGGCTAGGCACCTAAAAACCCCAATCTTGGCCCAAAACATCGCAAAGTTTTATGCAAAAAAAACACCAAATAAACAGAACATTATCTTACTTTTGATTAGAATGGGTTACTTACTGCTCTTTCATTTCTACAAAGTCCTCCTCCTCGTGTTTTGCCAGATCAGTTTCACTGGCATCCTCAGTGTCTAAATGAGGTAAAGAATGACTTGTTAAAACTAAAGAAGTATTTCAAAAAAACACAAAGTAGTAAATTATTTAAAAACAAAGAAATAAACAAACAAAAAATCCCCAAACCTTAGGCAATTTAACCTCAAATACACAACCTGATAGGCCTCTGGAGAGATCAATTCAGAAGTGAAATGAACCGTCTCATCTCTTTCCTGCAACTGCAAGTTAACCTGTGTAAATCCTCTGGTAGTTTTGCCACGAAGCTTACATCAAGTCTAAACAACTTCAACTTCAGCTGCTCTGGTAAATTCTTCCCAGTTTAAGACAACAGGTTGTATATTAATGCTCATATATACAAAGCTGAGAGAGAAACAGTCTAAAGACTCTGAAAAACATTTCACAGACTTCTTCCTATAGTTTCACCCATGACATAATATACTGTACGGAAGACAACGACTGCAACAGCTGTAACTGATTCTGCATCTTGACCTGAAACACTCCAAAATGAAAATACTATGACTAAATGCTGTTAGGGTTGACCACAAAGGTCTCACTAAAGATAACGACGTTACTTGCCGTGATCTGAGCTTGACTTCTCAGCTACACGTTGCACAGAAGTACTTCAACACTTACACATAACAAAGACCAGCACTACCATAAAGATAGCCCCAGTTTTATGAATAGATAATATAAACTACAAACAAATTAAACCAGTATGGGACTGCTAGTTTTCTGCTATGCCTTTTCAGGCTTCTGTTCATAAGACACGGACAGCCAAGAATTAATCATCTTTCCTCCCCAAGGACAGGTCAGTGCCTCCAGGCTGGAGTTGTGCTAGGCAGGGTACGACTGTAAAGCCTGAACTACAGCTACATTCCCTACATATGGACGGGGGCACCAGTCCCTTAAATCAAACCTTTCTCAGATTTTTCTTAAACTATGAACAAACGCTTTAAGCTTACAGGTATTATGATAAAATCCAACACACCAAAAATAAAAAAAAAGTTTTAACTGAAGGAAAAATACTTAGATGTCTAGGTCACCATAAAAGACTTCCACACTCGGTTTACTTGTGTGCAGCCACAGAGAACCCCACACTGACCAGTACGCTGTCAGCCTCTGTAAGGATCTACAGGTTTGGCTCTGGCACCTCATTCATGAACGTTACCAGACGTGATGGAGGACTCTGGCTGACAGAGCAACCAGCACTGTCAAAGGGTCATTCTTCATCTCCCTTGCATGCTATTTTATGGATCCTACACTCCAGCATACTCTGGGGTTTACTTCCATCTCCTCTTCTCCACTGCTTTCCTGGTCCTTCTGCAAAACCTCTCTTTCCTCTAAATCCTCCTGCACCCCCTTACTTCTGTCCACACTTTCTTCTACCTTAACTGCCTGCTTCCCCCTCGCCCCTTCACACCACGGAAATAGAACCAAGTTCCACACACCAGGTTTCTCCACTGCTTTTACCCTGTTGTCCCATACACTCAGTCCCACCTCCTCAGTGCTCTCCCCTTCCCCCCCCGCCTCTTCTTCACCTGGGAAACCACTTCAGTTCCACCTCTCCATCGGCTTCGCTTTTCTGCTCTTCCACAGGGAACCCCAGCAATCTAACAGGCCCATGTTTCCTTCACGTCTTCTTGCTGCTCCAAACCACTTCTCCACCAAACCCGACCCAAGCCCTTCCTACCCAACACTCTCCTCCACCTCCCCAGCCCCCTGTCCGGAGCAGTCCCCTTCTTCATCCCCCCATCCCAATGAGACACCCCCCCGCCCCGTGAGCCCCAGGCTTC